CTGGAGGGAGGCTGAGGCCCAGAGGATCTATATGTTTAATTTCTTTTGCACCGTGTTTTGAGTTTTTCAGCTCAATAAATCACCAACACTGGTAACCCGACTGAGACTGGATTCTTGGAGGCCAAAGAACCCCGTCACAGTGACCCAAATCATCACTGTTATTGTTATTATATAGTAAATTAAATCATTACTGTTAAATTGTATGTATTGTCCAATTGTTTATTTGAATTCTTATTCCGGATTAGTTGGAGACATACACTAGGCTATATCAGCCCCACCAAAAATATTTTTCACCAGCCGCCACTGGGGTGGGGGTGTAGAATTGAAGATAAAATTTTCGCTATTGTCTCATATGAACATAAACATGAACACTGCACCGTTATATGGGCTCTCCATTCTTTGGGCACAGGAAGCGCTGATAGATGAATGGATGAGTGCAGTGAAAAAAATCCCAAACCAACCTGCTTTTGCAGACCCTACTGCTGCATGTACGTATGGACTTGTCTCACACAAGCCTACTGTCATGATGGGTAAAGAACCTAGCCCATATGCAGAACACTCGGAGGCAGGAGAAAAGTTCAAAAGGTTTATTAAAGAAATGTAAAATGATTTAACAGGTCCAGGGTTAGGGAGACTGATCTGGATTTGGTTCACCGCTGATCAGGAGATAAGCAGAGCTGCAGAGAGGGGGGGAACCTTGTGGATCCAGAGGCTGTTGGCAGGCCAAGGGCTAGCAGAGCTGAGTGCTGACAGGAAGTGAACTGAGAGCTAGGCTGAGACAGTCTGAGTGCTGCGGGCTGGTTCCAGGTTCAGAACAATGTGCAGGCTGGAGGAGAGTTGAGTGCTAGGCAGAGGCAGTCTGAGTGCTGGCGGGCAGGTTTCTGGTCGGGAACCCTGTGCAGGCAGGAGGAGAGTTGACAGCTGGGCAGAGGCAGTCTGAGTGCAGGTTGGCTGACTCCTGATAAGCTCTCTCTCTCTCCTGAGAGCTGGGTTGAGACGGTCTGAGTGCAGGCTTGCTGACTCCAGGTTTGGTTCTCTCTCTCTCTCTCTCTCTTGAGAGCTTAGTCTGAGGCAGAGGCAGGGCTTACTGTATGATTGCAGGCAGATCACGGACAGAGTCTCTCTCCAAGTTATCTTCTGAGGGCGGGCAGGCAGATGCTGACAGGAGAAGCCCTCCAGAGTTAAACAGAGAGCAGGCAGACTGGTCACCGGCAGAGAAACTCTCCTGAGTTTCAGGTTAACAGGCAGGTTCAACCTGTGAGGCAGAGAGGAGAAAACAGGATCAAGTTCAGATCACAGAAAGTCTGAAGACTAAGACAGGCAGGTTGGCTCAGGTCTTGCTAACCGTAACTGGCAAACACTCTGGCGTTGGAGTGTTAGTCTCCTCCTCCTTAAGTAGGCTCAAGGCTGATCAGGAGATGAAAGACAGGTGTTGCAGGTGAGCACAAGCCCTCAGGAAGGGATCCTTGGCGCCCTCTGGTGGGCAGGCCTCTGGATCCCAACAGACAGCAGAAGCCCTCAGGAAGGGATCCTTGGCGCCCTCTGGTGGGCCAGCCTCTGGATCCCAACAGACAGCAGAAGCCCTCAGAAAGGGATCCTCGGCGCCCTCTGGTGGGCAAACCTCCGGATTCCAACACCTACTATAAATCTAAAATTTATAAACATAGTTCAACAATAGTTAATATTTTGTCAAGGTAATTGGTTCATCTTCCCATGCACTAAGTCTGATTCTTTGTAAGTTTATAAACTACTCTAGGGTATTTATGAGCTACTGTGTGTCTTGTGCTGTCTTTATTGAATTTGATGTAATATTAAAGCACCCATATATAGTATATGCTGTCAACTGTAAGAGTCAGTTATACACTTATAGTCAGTGTTAGTAATGGTTATAGAGTAATTACACCTATATATACACGTGTTAAATTGACTTTATTCAAAGTCACGTTTGGCGAAAGGACTAAGAAATGTGCTATAAATTTTACGGGTGCAGTTGTAAATTAAAGAGTTGCTACTCAGACATGAACACAAGTGCCTCTTTGTTTTTCTTACACAGACTCTACCATTATTTTTTAGATTGCTCTTTTTTATTGTGGCCGCCTCGCCTAGGACCCGTAACAATGGCAGTTCCAAGCCATGTCATAAATCATGCAGTCTATTAATCATTATGATAGCTCTTAAAATGTTTGATATAAGGGGTAGCAGTTACCTAGCTCCTGCTGACCAATAAACCAAAAAGAAAGAAGAAGCTTTAGTTATTTCAGAGATATAGAGAGGTATCGGTTATTGCAGGCTAACAAAGAACCCAAATAACCTCCATTCCAAAGGTGCGGACCCCTTCACCTGGTTCAATTTGCATGTTTTCTAAGCCAAAACAAGTTTCCTGAAATAGTCTTAGAAACTTTGTCAGGATATTCCAGAATTCTTTTTAAATTTCTGCTGGCAATACTTCTGGACTGGGGAACTTTTTATTTGGCATGCCTTGAAGGACTACTTGCAGTTCAGTTAAAGTCAATGGGGAATCCAATTGTAATGCTTCACTCTGATAATTTAGGATTTGATCCTGAAATTGGTCAGCAAAAAATAACTTTTCTGATTGTACATATTCCATCTATAAAACATTCTCTTATCTTTGACACCATCTAGCGGCCATGATGATTAACTACGTGAAGCCGTTCCTTTTTTGCTCGAGTAGTGGACAAAAAGAATGCTGCAGGTTTTACTATCACATAAAAAATATTTTAAAACATAAACTTAAAAAACCTAAAGGCTTATAAGGTTTGCAAAAACTGGTTTACATACATACAGTTCCTCTGAAACACTTAAAACACTAAAAACTTAAATGTATTTAATATAATGTATTTCACTTAATGTATTTCATTTGAATGTGTCAAACCGAACAAAAGAAGAATGTTTAAAGAGGTAGCAAAAGGTGTGAGATTGTAATTCCTTATGTTTTTGAGCAAACAACAATCAGACAAATCAGATTTCTCTAAGGAATTTTTTGATTAGTTAATAGAGAATGTCTGTATATAGGCTAATTTATTATGTGGGAATGATATTTTTCTATTAAGGATAATAAAATATATGAGTTTTAAAGTAAAAAACACCCAAAACATTCTCCAACACAACACATCTCCTTCTACATAGAAAGTGCTTTAAAGACTAAACTGCAGTTTTTTTGTCAATGTGGAGAATAACCTGGGAATAAACGTCTCAGCATGAAGCTTTAATTTACAGCGGTGACCAAAACATGCTGCCAGAACTAAAATGTAATGGTTTTAATTAAAATATAATCATATGTTTAGACAGAGAAGAGGTTAGTTGGTGTTTTATGGTGCTCGGGTCAACATATGATTATGTCTTTGTAATAATTGTGTTAAATTAAAATTAGCTTGTTTACTAAATAAATAAATAAATAAATAAATAAATAAATAAATAAATAAATAAATAAATAAATAAATAAATAAATAAATAAATAAAGCCTCCCTATCTATATATATTTTGTTTTTAAACCCAAAAAAACTCAGATCGGCTGTAATGAGCAGGTAGCCTACAGCTGAGCTCTCCATAAACAGCTCCTTTTATCTGCCGCTCCAGCGCGAGCTACAGAGTAGGAGGGCTCGCGCACAAAGCGACGCACGGCGCTCGCGCTGTGATGGGACTACAAAGCCGTTAGCGCTCTCCGCTTCCTCCTCTTCCATCATGGCTCCCTCCATAGACAGGCAGGGATACTGGGGGCGGCCCACCTCAACGCTGGAATGGTGCGAGGAGAATTATGTCGTTTCTTTTTACATCGCTGAGTTCTGTGAGTTAAACCTTAGTTTCCCTTTTAAAGCCAAAGCTTCGGTTTTAGGAGACTTTCCGGGGTGAGGGTCAGACTGAACACCGACAGTCGCCTCAATGCCGTAAACATTGGGAACAATCGGACCCAGAAATCACAGATGTTTTTAAAATATCGCGTTATTTTGGTAGACGTTAACCTGACCTGCGGTAGGAGCTGTTAGATATTAACAAAGAGACAAACTGGGAATGTTTAGAAGCAGCTGTCTGTCGGTTGGTGACCAAAGATTCATTCTTACAGTCCAGAGACTGATGGCTAATGTTGTTATGAGCGAAATTAGGTTAGTTTTCTTTGTGTGAATGTGTAATTAAGGTTTATTTACACTTTGTTATAAGATAGGTGTTTGAGAACATATTTAACATGTGAGCAATATCTCTGCTGATAAATGTTCTAACCTTTGTGTTCAGGACATATTTGGTCCTGGCTTTATGACGCATTATAAATTACTTTAATGAAAAAAACACCTTGTGAAGTTCAAAGGTTTCTAGGGGCTTTTGTTAATAAATACATTTTCTTAGTTTTTTTTTTTTTTTAGGTTTTAAATCTTTTACTTTATGTAATAAATATGAAATCTGTAGTCTTTGTGAAGATACACACTTTGTTTTCTCCATGTGTAAATGCTCCTTCTGATGAAATATTGATAAATAAATGAGTTATTGCTTTATTCTATTGTCCAATTCAGCTTTTTAATTAATTGATCATTTAAAAAAATGTCAGGGAAGAAGACAAAATGCAATTACCAATGAAAATATGTGGTGTTTTACATTTTTTTTCTTTTGTACTTTACTATAATAACATTAAAAATAGGTTGACTCTACAGTATGGGCAGGCTGTCCTACTATCTATCGTGGTGTTAAACTGAAATATTTGAAAAATCATAGAGACTTCAGGAATCACTTTGGGTGTGATAAAACTCTTAGCAAGAGTGACCTAAGAATAAATTATTCCAGCCAGAGGCTTTTATTTGTACCGAAAGAGTTAAATCTATGTTGTGTTTTAAGTTAGCTGTTGTCTTCTGATTAAAGGGCGTTCCTGAACAGTGCAGGCACATTTTTGAAGCTGATAATATGTTCCCTCAGTACACTTTGAGTCTTCTTGTTTTGTCTTAAGATAAAAACTGGTTCCTCGAGCACCTGTATCTTAGATTTAAACTGTGTTTCTATCGGACCATTCAGGCAGCTGCCTTGTCAGCAGCAAGATGCAAAGATATGACTGGTGCTGCACTTTTACTCACACGCCCTCACAGTTTAGCCAAATAAGACAAAGCTAACATCACTCACTTTGTTATTGCTAAATCATCCATATTGTTGATGAATGTAGTAATTATGAGAGTTAAGAAAATAGAAATAATTAGTTGAAATGTGGAAAAATTAATATATTTATCCAGATAAACTGGTTTATAACTGCCTACAGCAACAGCTTGTTCAAAGAGAGATAAGGCCAAGGGGGTCAGAGTTTAGACTGCTTTAGTAGCGACAAAAACCCCATCTCTGTTTAGCAGTTTTCTAAACTTTCCCACCACAAATGCACCTGCCGGATATCATCAGTTAAAGCTTTTGTTTGCATAAATAACAAGCGCCTGTTTTCAGCTGCAGGACAATGGTTTGGTGTTTAAACTACCCTTATTCAGGCTTCAGCGACTGGAATGTGGCCGTGTTCTTTGGGTTGCCATGACTTTTAGTTTATATTTGCAGTGGTGAGGACATCACAGCATGCATATCATTCAGATATTTGCACTTGCTCATTGAACTGTTTAAGCAACACGCCCACGCTGACATGCTGTGGTGTGCTTCGGCTTTGTTTGCATTTATTATCCATTACCAAAGTACATACATTTCAAAAGGGCCAATAAAAGGACGTGTGGAAATACCTTGACATTTATTACAGCTGCACATAATGGACTGTACTATTTAGTTCTGTTGATCCTTCACCGGCTTATTAGTTTTTCAATTACTTATATATTTACCCCGATTGCAGAAAAAATATAATTTCATACTTTTGATGGTTTGGCTAACAAGTTGGGTACAGAAACATATATCTGGATCTAAGACTTTAATTTATCAACTATACATTTTTTTCATCAGTTTCATCTACAGATGAATTAACCATAAACCAATATATTTCAATTTAATGTATTTCTATAGAGCCAATTCACAGCACGGCATCTCAAGAGATAGACAATACAGCAATCAGTCACATTAAGCATGCTTCTAGTGACAGTGGAGAGAAAAATCCCTTTAAAAAGGAAGAAACCTCCAGCAGAACCAGAACCAGGCTCTGTGTGAGTGGCCATCTGCTGAGGGCAACTATGGTTCAAGAAGACAGAAGCAGACATAGAAAAAGAAGCAGAGATACAAAAGACGACTGTCAACCAGCTCCACAGGCGGCCCCGTCCAGGAAAGACACAGCCAGGCGCACAATCTCCGGGGCAGCTCCCATGTCAGAGGATGAAAGAGAGCACATCCACTAAGTTACAGTCAGAGAAACAGGACTACACTGAAAAAACAGGCCAAGCTCAAACACCTAAAAACAAAGGTGTTCATGGCAGCAGCACAGCTGATATTTCTCTCCAGGTTGGAGTCACAGCCAAACGGGAACAGACCAGATGAAGCTACTATGAGAAAAAGCAGAGAGAGCAGAACATTAGAGATTGAACTAACAAATTCTGCAGAGTAGAAGAATAGTTAGAATGAAGCAGAATCATTAAAAAGGGGTCCCTATGTCCTCCAGCATTCTAAGCCTATAGCAGCATAACTGTAGAGATAGCTCAGGATAACCTGACTTGTGCAGATGAGGTATGAGAAAGGTAGAGGCTAGAGCCAAGGAGAAAAATCTGTCTCGACTTAAATAAATGAGTCTTATTTTCTCCCAAGTCATCGTGCAAACCTTTGCATAGTTTTTCTAACTTTTCATCTGTTTATCTTTGATCCTGATGTTCCATCTGTCTGTTGAGCTCGGTGTGAAGATAAGATATGAAGATATATGCAGAGAAACGCCAGTTTGGCTGTAATTCCATGAATAGTCTTGTAATAGGCAGGTATTTATGTAAGGGCAGCACATGATACAATTCATTTTGCTCATCTGATTAAAGTTTTTTCATAAAAGCCAAGACATGTTGACAGCCGGTTTGACAGGCTTTGTTTTTCCAAAAAGCATCCTAATAGTTTACAACTTCTAAAACTGGGGGTTTTAATTAGCTTGTCTGCTCTGCAGCCTCAGGACCTGCATATTATGCTACAACAGAGGAAAGCACTAGCTCTGAAATTTCCCACCATCACCTGTTCACCCTGTCTTAATGACCCTGATTATCCAGGGTCACTAAGATTCTTCTACTCTTTTTCTTTTTTTGTTGAATTTTTTCAGCACTAGTGGCTCATTTTTCAAACTGTAGGCTGAGAGGAAGGTGTGTAGAGAGGGGGGACAGACATGCAGCAAAGGACCACAGGTCAGATTCAAACCCAGGTTGGCCACGTTGAGGTTAAGGCCTCCATACGTGGGTCGTGACTCGTGCGCGCTAACCACTGCCCCACCGAAGCACACAACAATTATCTGTTGTAGATCAACAGAAACAGTTTGATGGCATCAGTCTGACTGATCCCCAATTTCTGCAGCCGATTGTTTTTAGGCTGTTCTTGAAGCTGATGTTTTTTCTTTCTTTGATAGCAGCTGGAGGGAGCAGCAAAGCATGTGCTTCATGTCACCTTAAGAAATGGCTGCTGAATGAACTAATGGATCGGCCGATGCTAATATCGGCAAAAAATATTGAGAATAACTCTACTCTGTTTTCACATCACGTACCAGGCGTTATCACTGGAACATGGTTTAATTAGCAGAATTTTTATGTCTTTTTTACTAAATTCTTCTGATTTTAAAATTTAGGACATTTCAACTTTTTTTATTTATATTTTATTTTACTACATAAACAGCCTCTACATGCTGTTTGTAGAAATGTCTGAAAGAAGTTCTTTATTTATTTTTTTTTTGTGAATAAAGTTCCGTCAAGCTAAAAAAAAACTAACAAAAAAAAGTCCCACCAGAAGTTTGGGAAGAAACCTAAACATAACGTCAGTCGTTTTTATAGCTAGACCTGATTTATTACCTTTAGTTTATCCCCTCCTCTAAGATCTAACCCTGAGCATTTCACTGGAAACCTAGACCTAATTTAGACTTATTTAATATGAGTTGAGTAAATTCTCTTGGTTTTGCATTTCTGTCATTAATTGTAAAAACGTCCCCTGCAGTGAGGTGCTTCCGGTCGATGTGTCTGTCTGCTCTAGCCTAACTCAGGGCAGAACACCACTCATACTGAGCCTGGTTCTGGTTCTGATGGAGGTTTGCGATGATGTGAATTAGTGCTGTAGAAATAAAGCTAAGAAATCTGAAGCACACCAGCTACTCCACCTCTGAATGAGTCAAAAGACAGCGGCTCAAATCCCAGTGAGATGCTGCTGTGGTACCTGCATTTTATATTTTCTCACTTTATTTTTAACTCTTTATCTGAGACATTTAAGTTCAGCAGCAAAAGAGAAAAGATAGGAAATCAGTAATGGAGAAGACATTTATGTGTTTGTCTCTGTAATCCATGAAAAATGGAAGAATGAAGTGTTCTGCCCTGATGCTGTGGGCTGTTTAGTGGCTGACTTTCAGGTATGACCTGGCGAAAGCGCCTTTGGTGTCGATGTTGAATGATATGTGGACCGATGGATCACGGTTCTGATAAGGTGAAAGCTGAACTTTAGGCAGACATAAACTCTCAGACATGGACGCATTTATCTACAGATGGTTAGACTGCAGGACTGAATAAAAACGTCTGTCCTGAGAACCACACCGCGCCATGTGCTGACGAATCAAACACACCCATTGTCCTTCTTAGGCCTCTACTGTGAGACAAGTTCAACATATGACGATTTGTTATCGTACTGCAATGAGCCTAATAAAAGCAGCGCTTCAGAGCCGACCCAGGAAGGTGAAGGCTTTGCCAACGCAGCAACTATTTGTGTTCCCGCTAAAAGGGCAGCGTTGGCAGCAGAGGCACGTTCGCAAGCGTTTAGAAGCTTAAAGGGGGAAAAATGCTCCAAGAATCTGTATTCTGCTCTGCAGATGAGGAATTTTGAAACGTTGGCAAATCTCTCAACAGTTTTTGCTTTGTGTTAACGGATTAGTTGATTTAAAGCTTATAACTTAGCGTTGCTGTTTCGGGTGGTGTTACAGAGCCATAAAAACATTATCTGCTCCATGTAGGAAAGCCAAAGAGCACAAGGTTATATGACCTCAATTACCCTTTTGCTGTAGATAAACAGTTTGTTCTGCTTGATTTTTGCCCCCCCCCCTCCCAGTTTCCTTCAGTTCTTTTAATATTTTGTATGACTGATGGCCTCTCAATAACTTCATCTTAGTTTCTGTGTGCTGATTTTTTATCTTTATTTTCAGCTGTTTTATATGTTGGCAGGTCACAGCTCATTCAGCTGATACCAAGGTTTAAAATAATACTTTGATCTGAGCAACGGCTTCTTGTTATGTCTTGTTTCTGAATTAGTTCATTCTTGGAATTAAAATAACTAACAGAAAACACAGAGATTTGGTTGTAAATAGTTTATGAATCAATGCTCACACCTGAAAGAAAACAGAAACCTCATGTCAACCAGGAAACGCCTAAACATAGTGGGTAGCTAATTAGTAACCTTGGAAACAGGATTCACCTTAGGTTCCCTCAGTAACGTCATTTCCCGCCCTTTGAACCAACTTTAAACAAAGCAGAAGTTGTGGTCAGGATTAGAAATCACTGTTCACTGTGACATTATTTCACTGTAGTAGCTCAAACATTGAAGTTTTGCAAATGTTTTAGGGCTGAAACAATGAATTGGATTAATCAATTATTGAAACAATCATCAACCTATTCAGTAATTAATTAATCTTTAACTAGAGTGTAGAGACCGTAAAACATGTCTTTAGCTGACAGAGCAACTCAATTAGAGCAGGAATTATATGAAAATAAAAAAAGAAATCTGTAAAGATTTTGCATGTAAGAAAAAATAATGTTTTTAATTTGTCGATATGCTCTATCCAGAGGTTTTAGTTGTATATGGTTTAATTCCATAAACAAATCTTCTTTAAGGAACCGTTGGCTATTCGATTACTAATCGAAAAAATTATCGATAGCTTAACTGATTTGCAAAATAATTGTTAGTTGCAGCCCTAATATATTTATTTATTTTCTCCTTATTTCTCCCTTTGAACAGGGAACACTGTCAGCAACCTGATCATGATCCTTCCTCCTTTATATGGAGCTGTCCAAACTTTTCGGGACGGCCTGGAGTTTCGCTATATTTGCTCGTTTCTCGGTCTCTCAGGTAAAGATGAAGGTCTCACCGTATTCAGAGCTGATTCTTCAGAAAGTCAGAACCTCCTTTCATTCAGTCTTTCCTGTGTTCCTTAATGTCACCCAGCTGTAGGTGTTGGTTCCTGGTGTTTCCACATGACGCTCTTGTATGAGATGCAGGTAAGATACACGGCTGCATCCATGTCTCCTCTAAGCACAGCTATTTTTGCCTGTTAACACAGATCAATGTCTGTTTTCTTTCTTTGCAGCTGCTGGACGAGTTGCCAATGATTTACAGTACATGTGTCTTTGTATACTGTCTGTAAGTGAATCAGCTTTTCACATTTGTTTTTTTTTTTTTATCCCCTTTTAACTGCTAAAACATTTAAGATCGTTCCTTAATGTGAATACATACAGATGGTTAAACATAAGCTAGCTTAAAAGTTAAATATTTATTGCTGCCAAACAATCTCCCCCTGAAAAAGGAAAAAAAAAAAGGATCTTTTATTTAAGCCGTTTTTTTCAGTTGGAAAAGTAAATCACATGTAGAAGTCAGGATCACTACTGGAACAGCTGTTGATAGCCTGCAGGAAAATCCTTTTGGTCAACAGGACAAATTTAGTCATCTCCATTAACTCATATTATTTCCCAAGCTTGCAGCATCCAGATAGAGGGATTGTCCCTCACTGCTCTCTGTAGAGGGAGGCTGACATTCTGTCTGTGGGCCATTATTTAACTGAAGACAGTAACAGACTTCATTGTACTGTTTACGTACGATAAACTAAATACCTAACGAAATGCTTGATAACATTTATTGTTAATAGATCGTTAGCCTAACCAACACTGGCCCCAGTTTAGAATCGTTCATAGTTTTTATACTCAAGTGCATCATCTTTTATCGTTTCAGAAGCTAAATGTAAATAATGAGACGTTTTTCTTTTGTTCAGGTATGAGTGCTTCAAGCAGGAAAACGGCATCAGTGTATTTCCTATAGTATTGTTGGTCATTTTTAGTGTCTCAGTCACATTGGTGAGTTCCTTCAGTTATTACAGAAATGGCTTACAGTAAACACTGAACTGAAATAGTCTCATATAGTTTCTGTATTTTTGTATCTCAGGTGTACTTGCAGTGGAAGGAGCCAGTTTTTCACCAGGTAAGGTTTGCTTTATGTCAGGTTTGTCTGCCTCCTTCAGATCACTGTTTGCTCTGAGGGCTCAGTGGCTAACCTTTAGCTCCTGTAAACAATGGGCTGGCCTACGCAGCACTGGGACATCGTTAGAGCTGACTGTCTGTCTGTCTGACTGTCCATCAGTCGGTCTGTCTGACTATCTGTTTGACTGTCAATCCGTCCGACTGTTTGTCTGTCTGACTGACTATCTGACTGTCTGATTATCTGACTGTCTGTCTGACTGTCTGATTATCTGACTGTCTGTCTGACTGACTATCTGACTGTCTGTCTGACTGACTATCTGACTGTCTGTCTGACTGTCTGATTATCTGACTGTCTGTCTGACTGTGTCCGTCTGTCTGACTGACTATCTGACTGTCTGTCTGTCTGACTGTGTCCGTCTGTCTGTCTGACTATCTGACTGTCTGTCCGTCTGTCTGTCTGACTGTGTCCGTCTGTCTGACTGACTATCTGACTGTCTGTCCCTTTGTCCAACTGTCTGTCTGCCTGTCTGTTTGACTGACTGTCTATAAATGCCCTTGATCAAGAGAAACTATTTTTTATTTTATTCAGCAGTAAAATCATTATCTACAGGGTAAAATTTTTATGGTACCACATAACGTGTTGACAGAATCAATAGCATATCTATAAACTCTTTGTTAACTATGTATAAGCAGAGCCTTATTGGAAACTGGTATCAATTATATAATGTTTTTAGGACTTCAAAGAGAGGCTGATAAAGACCTGAAGTGACCTTTTGCATTGTGACGACATTGACCTTTTAATGATTAACAATCTGGTCACCGTGAAATCCTTTACTTTAAGCCTAAATCTAAAAGATCTTTGTAAGAAAGTGTTGATGCTGAACGTCCTATACTCAGCTCTAGATGAATATAAAATAGAAGGAAAAGGTGATGTCATGGCTTCACTGCAGCTTCATGCTGCTCAGGCAGCAGCAGCTGGACTTTGGCCTTCTTGGTTTTTGGCCTTAAATAAAAAAAAAATAAGGTTATAGAAAAAGCTGACAAATGTTTGATTGAGTTCTTATTTCTCCACTTTAATTTGATCTGAACAAGGAACCTTATTGTTGCTTAAAAGGCAGAGTGTAGTGTTATTATGGTGTCACTTTTTTTAAAGTTGCACAAGATCGATGCTTTTAGTTCTGCAAATGAAAACTACGTGATCAGCTGTAAAACAAAACGGCTTTTGTTCATGTGGCTGAACCAAAAGGGCTGTCCTGAAGATATACTCTATGTGCTCGTTTATTTATGCAAACCTATAAACATTAAATTAATCAAATCAAATGAGCAATTTTTACTTTAACGGAGCTCAAACCTTTTAGAACTCTTACATCTGTAAGTATAGGAGATATTAAATACATGAGAAGCTTGAACTCCGACTGAATTAAACCAAAACCTTTTCCTTTGGAGTTTACCTTTATATTGTCCCATTTAATTTAGTAAATATATAAATTACTGAGTAATGATTATATATATTTGCTGATTTGTCTTTGGACACATGAGCAAAGACTGACCAGCATTATTGTTGACTGACTCCTGACAGCAGGTAGCAGCTCAGATGAAAATCCTAACTTTTATCAAACAAACATCTCTACTGGTTAAAATCTTATCACCAAACCGTCAAACATTAATCTGGATGCAGATTTCTGCAGCGTGTTTTTACAACAATCTAACATTTAACCCGTTTTTTTATAAAGAAAAAAAAAAGCTGCTAGTTTTGTCTGTTTGCCAGAACAGGTGATTAAGTCATTGATAATCCCTTAAAGTATCTCTGCTGGTTATCTACTCAAAGAGGCAGAAGTGAAACTGATGACAGTTTTATTTTTTCTTTTAGGTTTCTGTAAAACTTCAGTTTCATTAAACCAAATATCAGGTTAAAAAGAGCTTTTCCTCTCCTGCAGAAAGTTCTGTAAATGTGTTTCCCCTCTCAGGTCATGTATGCTGCCCTGGTAGCTTGCCTGGTGTTGCGTTCTATCTTCATTGTGACATGGTGAGTACTGTTACTTTAATAGTTCAGATCCACTCAGCGCGGTCCTGATGAAGGTTGTTCTCTCCTGGTTCCAGGGTGTATCCGTGGCTCAGGGGGCTCTGTTACACATCTTTAGGGATCTTTCTGTTAGGCTTCCTGCTGTGGAACATCGACAACATCTTCTGTGACTCTTTAAGGTGAGTAGATAGTTGTTGTTTTGAAATATTATAAAATTGGAATCTATATTTACACTCAATATTCTGTGCGAGTAGAACAAAATATCTCCTTTCTTTCATATTTCATCCAAAAATCACACTTAGTTGAAATAATGGAAGTAATAGCATGGTGATCATTTTAATTCTTCTAACATCAGTAAAATTCATTACAACTCCATCATGGATGAAATAGATTAAAAATGTTTTTGACCCTTTGTGGTGGAATATGTGAAATGAAAAGCTCAGTTTTTGATAAAGCCCTTTTCTTCTTTCTCTAACTTAGAGCCAGTAGAAAAATGCTGCCCCCTGGTGTTGGAGTAGCAACTCAGTTCCATGCCTGGTGGCACATCTTCACAGGTCTCGGTTCCTACCTGCACATACTGCTCAGGTTGGACCTTTATCTGTGTCAGAAACCAAATTCTTAGTAATGATGCTTTTTGTGAACTTGCTCTAAAATGAAACACCTGCAGTTTGCAGATCCGATCCACCTACCTCAAGCACAGACCGAAGGTTAAGGTACATCAACATTGTGACTTAAAAGAAACTGTTAAGTTTTAATTCATGACCTGTTGCTGGATGTTTCCTTTGTTCAGTTTGTGTTTGGAGTCTGGCCCACGCTGCACATTGAACCACAGAAGACAAGCTGAGAGGAGAAGATGTCTACTAGCTAATGGAGACTGCCAAATAAGGCAATCCTGGCAAAAAGAGCTGCCAGTTCTGCCTTTCTAATGCTGGGGAACTGGTCCCAGTCAGCGGCTTGGTGAACCGCAGCGCTCCAACTTAGGGACCTTAGTACAGCATAGCACTGAATTAAATGTCAAGAAACTGAAGATTATTTTTATTGATAATAATTTATTAGACTAGTTTGTTAAGTTATTTTATGTGGGTAGTGTTTATTTTTTATTTTTCATTGCAGTGAATGAATGACGTAGTTCACTTCTGTGGTAAATACAGAAGGACTTACAGACATTTCATTGATTTGAAAAATTGTTGAATATTTCCAATTGATTCAAAATTCTGTTTTATTTATAACCAATCAGATAAATAATCAAATCGAATGATCCATAATATATAAATTTCTCCCTTCAAATATGACATTACCCTTATTCAGGCTCAGCTCCTCAAGCTGGGTAGCTTTTAATATAGTTATTGCCGGGGAAAAAGGAAATATACTTATAATGGATTTAATACAAGAGGAAAATCCATGTTATAAACTTAGCTGAAGATTTTTACTTGAAGTTTCCATAAAAATTATTTTCCATAACTGGAATTCTGATGCTTTCTAAAAATCCCTAATTATGTTGCCAAATTTGCACTTTTGTTTTTTGTACTAAGTACTCATCCAATGTGTGAAACGGTTTAACTGTTTACTTGCTGTAATGTTTTAATGAAAGTAACGTTCTAACACAGGTTTTATTTCCCAAAGTCCCCAGAACATCTGAGCCTCAGGTTTTTCCTAAGAGCGTCCTAAATGAAGCAGCTGCTTAATTGGAATGACAACTTCTAGGCATGGGATGCTTTATGGTACCAAGATAAAGCGATCTTTCAAAATTAAGGTTTTAAAACGAGCTTAAAATGTAGAAAATTTCTGTCTAATGCAGAGAATGTTGAAGTAATTTTCATTGGTTCACACTGCTGATCAGCTGGCTGAAAAAGATTCATGCTAGTGATGGTCCAGCAGCTCCGATGCCCCATCGAGCTCACAGAGTAAAACTTCATGTTGGTGCTCGGATCGTTTGTAGAGTCTTATGAGCGGCTTGAAACTGACTGACGCACTAAACTGTCAACGAGACAAATCTGCCACAAAAATCTCTGATCTTTAAAGTTTCTTTATCAAATTCATCAGGAAATATGGAGGGACCAATGTTAGACCATTTAGATCTCGTATTTGTTTTAATTTTCTCCATATGTCATCCTGCTCCTCTCAGTTATCACTCAAGTTATCTGAATTTAAATGAAATTCAAATCGACTTTTAGTTTACCGTATTTACTGTACTTATACTAGTACATTATTTATTGATTGCATCTAAGCATATCAAATATATTTTCACTTTAAACAAAGATATGAAATTATAGAATATGATATAAAATGACGTAAATCATATTATTGTACTGGGCTGGATGTAAGAATTTTAAAGGTCCAGCAGGTGTCAGTATTGACTGACTCAGTATCAGTACAGTTTGCAATGTAAAAATATGCTTCCTGATGCCTCATCAACCATCGCTCATTCATAAACGTTATCTGCATGTGCAAGAAGAAGAAAAAATGTCTGTTTATCGAAATGAATAAAACAATAACTTTAAGTAACCTGCTGTTATAATAATAATGTTAACGTTTTGTTTGGGATAAGAATTTGTTGTTTTCCCTTTTAGTAACAGAGATCAGTAGATACTGAGACCTATACTTCATTAAATTGACATAAACACAGACAGCAAATTTAATTCTTACAAATACTAGGATCAGAAAAATATCTGGGATCGGTTTGGGACCTCTTTTTAATAGAGAATGCAGTCTTTTTTTTAAATCATCAAAATAGTTCTTTTTTTTATCAGTAATTAAATGAAATTACATTTTTTAAAGCTTTATAAAAATTGAAAAGAGCCAGAGAGTCTAAAACTGGCCCATGCTTAATTACCAGAAGATCTTTGTGCCTCATTTAGGATCCTTCTTGGAAGAAAAAAACTTGAAAGTGTTGTGAAGTGAGCCGGTTAGATATGATTGATCAAAAATAAAAATGTGATTATTCAAATGAAATCCGATTTAACCTCAGTCAGAGAGCAATGCTTCACTGGCATGCTTTTAAACACTATTAACCTCTGAATGAACACCACACTTTCACATCGTTTAATCTGCTGCATTTTACGTAAAAAAGACTTATTTATTCATCTTCCTCTGTTTAACTTTTTGACATCTTCTAGCTGGTTTGATGAAACTGAAAACCTCTATGAGTAGTTCATGATAAAACCACTAGATGGAGTCCTGTTCCAGCTCATTGTGGAGACTGGAACTTGAGCTGCTGGAATCTGGCCCAGCTCTCATGTCTTTGACTTTGTGTTAATGAAGGGCTTTTTATGTTCTGTTACTGTGAAGCAGTGGATGTGTATCTGCATCAAACAAACTTGAAATAACTGGTTCTCTATAATATGCAGACTTTAGCCACTAAGGGTTATATTCTGAACAGTGCGTGTTACTTTATTTTTCATGATGTACTTGGGTTGCTGAGTTTTTAAGCCCAGTGTTAAAAATATTCATAAGCACAATGTATAAAACCTAAGTATTAGCGTCCTCTGATGACTTTGCCCTGTGTTATCTGAAGTCCCTGCTCATTAGAACCGAGCAGGTCACAAAGAGGGTGCCTTATTGTTATCACTGCAGTGTAATCCAGGTTGCCTTGATATTTAAAGAAGCATTTCATTTTATCCTTTGTGTTTTGTCCTTACCCTGAATATTAGCCATCAGGAGGACCAACTTCCACAGCTTTTAATGCAAAGTCTGGGCCTGATTCTTTTGCCTTTTTTCATATCATGCATGGAAACATAAACTCATTGTTCTGCATACATTGCTAGTATAAAGAGAATATCACTTTTGTGTTTATGGCCAGAACACCAATCTCTGCCAGCAGCTTTGTTGTACTTTGATCGGTCTTTGAAGATTTTCTCTGATGTCAAATAAAGGAAATTGTGTCAGATTCATGAAGTTCTGTCACTCTATATCATTGGGTTCCTTACAGGAAATTATGTAATGCTGCTTACTGAACATTTTGTGCTGCTAATGATTTTACTGTGACCTAAAAAACAGGAAATATCTGTACATCTTCAGAGAAAATATCAGTTGATTTTTGACTGAAGGCAGCCTTTTAATGTAACTAAGCCCAAAATCCACTTTTCACAATTTAAACTGAAAAAACAGAGTTGTTGGGTTTCTATTTTAAAGTTGTGCTTTTTTTTTTTTACATGTGAGAGTTTGTTCTGTATTATTGTATCTTAAACCTCAGTGTTTCCTAGGCAGTTGAACAAAGAGGATTGTGGTAGATTTTCCTATTTGATTTAATTGTACAGGCTG